TTTGTAGAAAATGGCATCCTCCTCACAGCCGCAGCGCTACACCGTCCATCCCGGTCCGATGGATCGGTCCCTTCTATACCTTCAGGACAATCACCGGGCGCAAGCTGTATACGACGATGTGGAGGGATATCGTCACGGCGTGGTTAGAACCCGCCGTTTTGACAGTCAGTTTTGGAAGGCGTTGGAGGTACAACATTACAATGTATGAGAGGTGATTAAAAGGACCGGTTTCGGGCCGCTTTTCAGAATGGGTAGAATACCGACGGAAAACAGCTTGATTACATGTCTAGTGGAGAGGTGGCGTCCGGAGACGAACACCTTCCACTTTGACTTCGGGGAGGCTACAATAACGCTGCAGGACGTACAAGTCCTTTTTGGTCTCCCAATCGATGGAACGCCGTGTTGGGGACAAACAGTTGACCATGGACACCACGAATGGCAAGAACACTGTGTCGATTATCTAGGGTTCGAGCCCTCAGTCTAGGTAATTTTTTTCCTACATTTTTTTTTTCCATTCATTAATTTTCAATATATATATAACACTCTCAGGCTGACGACGACCCGGAGGGCACCCTGGAACTTACATGCCAGTTTTTGAAGACCTCGACAATTGAAAAGGAGTGCTATAGACCGCTAATAAATGAAGAGCTTCCCTCTCGCTACGAAGAGAGGGCGAGGGCGCTTATACTCTGGTGTATCTGGTCATTTTTCTTCCCCGATCAGAGGGCGAATGGGGTCATGTTGTACTGGATGCAGCACTTGCTCGAGATCGATGAGGTCAAGCAGTACAGCTGGGGTTCAGCTGTCCTGGCCGGTGTCTATAGAGGGCTCAGCACGACCGCCAGAGCCGGGGAAGGCTGGATCAAGAACTGTGTTCAATTGATTCAGGTAAATAAATGTACTTACTTGTTATTACTTCATTCATTTTTTATTATACTTTATCCTAATATATATTAACCAAATATTTATGTCGATATCTGTAGGTTTGGGCACGGGAACGTATCCCTCGTATTAGCCCAAAAATGAGGGATACCAACTTTGACAGAGTCAATGGTTGTCCCTTAGGAGCAAGGTAATCACATTTATTTATATTTAATACTTAGAATATTTTAACTATAAAATTTTGTGATTAGAATTTTTGGTTTTTTTTTTTATTATGTGATTTTTAAGGTGGGTGAGACGGAGGAATATGGAACACATTGGAAAGGGAACAACCGCTATCCGAGATCAATTAACGTGGCTGGGAGAGAATGATGTAAGATTTTTATTAAGTAATATTGATTATTATATATATATATTTGTTTTTCGTTTTTTATTTTTCTAGAACTTAATAAATATTATTATTATTATTTTTTTACAGTTCAATTGGGTGCCATATAAGCGCCACCTGGACGAG